TAAAACCATAACGCCACCGAGTCAACCTTCAAACATTTCTCTTATTGGAAGAGTTCAAGCTGAATAAAAACAAACATTTTGAGCACCTTAGATAAAAAGCGAGCTCAGGTATGTTCTAGTACGCGTGAATCTAGATTGGGTTTTTAACCACAGCATGGTGGAGATTTGATGGGACCACATCAAATCTCCACCATGCATGACAACCACAGGTAACCAAACGTCTTTAATCCAGCAGGAAGAGGCTGGAGATGATCCAGAGTAGATCTGCACACTGGCTTCCATCAGGATGTGAATCTAACAACGTAGATCTACATCCTCAGAACTGCAATTTTCCCAGTGAGCAACTTAGAAAAAACCTCATAAAGTTCAACAGAAAACAATTTACAGTCCAGGAAAACCTGCAGCCATTTGAAGCCACAACACCAACACAGGGCAACAGGGCATTAGAACATAAGGGCAGTGGCAAATCAGGGCAACAGGGCATTTGTGTCATCAGGCATGATGTGAAGAACTTTGGTCCTGAAGATGAAAGATTGTGGCTGTTGGTGGAGATGCCCCACCTGCCAGTAATCCGCCCTCCTATTGGTCGAAGGAAGGCTCTGCAGAGGGATGTTCATCCTGGTTTCTTCTACATTTTGTTCAATCTGCTCCCAGTTTCATTTCTGTAGCTCAGATAAAAATATGGATTCTTTTAAAAATATATTCATGTCAGGAGGTCAGGTTTTAAAATATATCAGAGTTTGGAGATGAAGCCTTCCTCCTCCTCCTCTTCTTCCTCCTCCTCCTCCACCTTCATGCTTCTTCAAACACGGAGCTCTCAGGATCTTTAAATATGATTTTATGTCCCTGTGGAGGAGACATTTACTCTGAGAGGTCGACGTCCCCGGAGGAATAAACGCCACCTCTCCGTTCCATCTGTTGGTTTTATGACTTCTGCAGGTTTCTGTTTGTGGATCCTTCACACTGAAACTCATCATCACTTTTCTGTTTTAACTCTTTCACTTTTAGTTTATTAGTTGAATCCCTTATCACTGTAACCTCAGGAGTTACCAACCTTCTTCACGGGTACAGAGCAACACGAAGGGCACTTACAACAGTTATCAGTAATAATTCTATGGTTAATCGCTATTATGTGATCAGAAGTTTTTAGCTCACAGAGTTTTAAGGTTGATTCCCTTTTGGAGTTTTTCTCTGTGATTCTAAACTGGCCACAAGTGACTGAAATAAACCAAATCAAACTGATGGATTGTTGCAGTAACACCTGCAGCTGTACAACACTGAGTACCTTGAAATTTTCCTTTAAATAAAAAAGAAAAGAAGAGTTATAGTTTATTACCTAACCATCTGTTCTATTAGCAAAATTGTGGAAAATAAAATATCTTTTGTGTCAAAACATATTAACACACACAGCTGTCAGTCTGAGGGTTGAGGTGGGGAACCCAAAGCCTCAGTCTTACTGGTCAGTTTGCTTTATTAATTTAACGGCTTTGTGTTTTTCTGTAAGCTAAAAATGAACCAGTTGGGTTTGAACCTCCTGTTGTTCTACGTTCAGCCTGAGCTTCTGACAGTCTGCGCGGTTCTGGCGGGTCGCAGGTTTATTCGCTTTTTCATGGTTTTGCGAACCGAACAGCTGACGGGTCCCGCTGGCTGACACCAGCAGATGTGGAGAAAATAAAGGTCCAACACAAAACTATCACTGCACCTGATCTGCAAGAGCACAAGCTCCTCTCCAATGCGCAAAAATCAGCACAAACCTGAACCAAGAGCAGCGGATTTTATCCAGACGATGCTAAATAATAAAGACATGGAAGCGAAGCCTCTCCAGAGGCTGTTGATTCCCAGGTTCAGGTGTTGCGATGTGCGCTACGAATAAGATGTTTGACACAATTTATTTAATTTTCTTCACAATTTTGTTAATAGTAAATAGGGTTAAATAATAAAAACTCCAGAAGTTATTCTTCTTTCTTTACTTAAAGGAAAATGTGAAGGTATGCAGAGCCGACAGTTTCCTGCAGGCGCCTGCGCAGTTCTGAACTTTAACAGCAGGAAAGAGTTTTATACGAAAAGCAATTTATTTTAAACATTTTTATCATTTCCCTCTTTTGAACTCTAAATGTAAGCAAACGTCATTACTTCAATGTAAAAACATTTAATCAAATTATTTTTTCGTAGTGCTCCCTAATGATAATGGCACACTGGGGGCCTCACACACTGGGGGCCTCACACACTGGGGGCCTCACACACCGGGGGCCTCACACACCGGGGGCCTCACACACCGGGGGCCTCACACACTGGGGGCCTCACACACTGGGGGCCTCACACACCGGGGGCCTCACACACCGGGGGCCTCACTGGGGGCCTCACACACCGGGGGCCTCACACACCGGGGGCCTCACTGGGGGCCTCACACACCGGGGGCCTCACACACCGGGGGCCTCACACACCGGGGGCCTAACTGGGGGCCTCACACACCGGGGGCCTCACACACCGGGGGCCTCACACATTGGGGGCCTCACACACTGGGGGCCTCACACACCGGGGGCCTCACACACCGGGGGCCTCACACACCGGGGGCCTCACACACCGGGGGCCTCACACACCGGGGGCCTCACACTGGGGGCCTCACTGGGGGCCTCACACACTGGGGGCCTCACACACTGGGGGCCTCACACACCGGGGGCCTCACACACCGGGGGCCTCACACACTGGGGGCCTCACACTGGGGGCCTCACTGGGGGCCTCACACACCGGGGGCCTCACACACCGGGGGCCTCACACACTGGGGGCCTCACACACTGGGGGCCTCACACACTGGGGGCCTCACACACCGGGGGCCTCACACACTGGGGGCCTCACTGGGGGCCTCACACACTGGGGGCCTCACACACTGGGGGCCTCACACACTGGGGGCCTCACTGGGGGCCTCACACACCGGGGGCCTCACACACCGGGGGCCTCACACACTGGGGGCCTCACACACCGGGGGCCTCGCCTCACACACCGGGGGCCTCACACACCGGGGGCCTCACACACTGGGGGCCTCACTGGGGGCCTCACACACTGGGGGCCTCACACACCGGGGGCCTCACACACTGGGGGCCTCACACACTGGGGGCCTCACTGGGGGCCTCACACACTGGGGGCCTCACACACCGGGGGCCTCACACACTGGGGGCCTCACACACCGGGGGCCTCGCCTCACACACCGGGGGCCTCACACACCGGGGGCCTCGCCTCACACACCGGGGGCCTCACACACCAAGGGCCTCACACACTGGGGGCCTCACACACTGGGGGCCTCACACACTGGGGGCCTCACACACCGGGGGCCTCACACACTGGGGGCCTCACACACCGGGGGCCTCACACACCGGGGCCTCACACACTGGGGGCCTCACACACCGGGGGCCTCACACACTGGGGGCCTCACACACTGGGGGCCTCACTGGGGGCCTCACACACTGGGGGCCTCACACACCGGGGGCCTCACACACTGGGGGCCTCACACACCGGGGGCCTCACACACTGGGGGCCTCACACACTGGGGCCTCACACACCGGGGGCCTCACACACTGGGGGCCTCACTGGGGGCCTCACACACCGGGGGCCTCACACACCGCGGGCCTCACACACCGGGGGCCTCACACACCGGGGGCCTCACACACTGGGGGCCTCACACACTGGGGGCCTCACACACCGGGGGCCTCGCCTCACACACCGGGGGCCTCACACACCGGGGGCCTCACACACTGGGGGCCTCACACACCGGGGGCCTCGCCTCACACACTGGGGGCCTCACACACTGGGGGCCTCACTGGGGGCCTCACACACCGGGGGCCTCACACACCAAGGGCCTCACACACTGGGGGCCTCACACACTGGGGGCCTAACTGGGGGCCTCACACACCGGGGGCCTCACACACCGGGGGCCTCACACACCGGGGGCCTCACACACTGGGGGCCTCACTGGGGGCCTCACACACCGGGGGCCTCACACACCAGGGGCCTCACACACCGGGGGCCTTGCCTCACACACTGGGGGCCTCACACACTGGGGGCCTCACACACTGGGGGCCTCACACACCGGGGGCCTCACACACTGGGGGCCTCACACACTGGGGGCCTCACACACTGGGGGCCTCACTGGGGGCCTCACACACGGGGGCCTCACACACCGGGGGCCTCAAACTCTGGGAGTCTCATGTAAAAAGAATGGACTGAACCTATATAGCGCGTTTCCAGTCATTTTGACCAATCAAAGCTCTCTACACTAGAGTCACATTCACCCATTCACACACACATTTACACACCAAGACGCAGGCCGGTAAGCAATTTGAGGTTAAGTGCCTTGCCCACAGGCACATCGACATGTTTGTGCGGCAGTAAACCAAACTTTTCCTGTGAACAATAAACTGAAATCTGACAACATTCAGTGATTTAGACCAAGAAGCATCAAACTCAGTTTTATGATTTTAATATTTTATCGTTTAAACGATGAAACTGAACCGATTTATCCTCAGACAATAAGCCAACACAAAATAAAGAAAATAATGAAGGATGCGAAAACATCACAACGTAAATAATTTGGCTCAGTTTGTCTCATGAAGACGCGATGATTCGTCTGAATTCATCGATGGCTCATTTATTCTCACTGAAGAGAAAACAGGGCTGATCAATAGGTTTGATTATTGAAGGTGATCAGTAGTCTCAGGCATATCAGCAGCTGCATCAAGGTGAGCTGCTACCTGAGGATCTGTGGCTCTGATGGAGAACATGGAGCCATTGATCAGATATTATATTGATCCGCTGATTTATTGGTGTTTAGATTGATCCAGACTGATCATCCTGGAGCTCTGAGCAGAACTTAAAGCAGGAGTCTACTGGTACCGGTACCGGTTCTGCTCTGATGGACTCAGAATGAACAGCTGGTGATTCTGGGTTTTCTTCCAGAACTTCACTAATCCGACCAAAACCCAAACCAGTCAAAGGCGAGACGCAGA